TAGTTCATTTAGTGTTATCTTTCTTGATGTACAGTGAGACGTTAGTGTCAACATTTACCTTGTTGGTATTGTTAGCACAACCATTATTTACTATTGGTGTTGTTATTGTGTGTGGATGTACATGATTGGGGGCACACATATCACGACACTTATGTGGGGATCACAGGACAATGCTGTTTCTCCTTCCACCTTTTCCTGCTGGGCCATCTGGCTGGCCCTCAACCTTTTCAATAACTCTAACACTCATAAGAAGCAGGCTCAACCCAGCACTTGTGGGAATTAGTTACATTGCTATTCAAGTACCTACAAAACTAGGAACAACAACATGTGGACTCCTTCTTGGAAAAACAAAAAGCAAAATCTTGCACCCTCTGCTTTTCATGTGAATTCTGGAAGGTGGAACTCTAGGGCCAACTCAGTTGGCCTCCTGTGCTTCATGGTTTCTAAGTTCCTGATGCAACAAGGCCCCTGGGACACAGGCCTAATGCACTATGTTCCTTCTATGAAATGTCAAGTCTGCATTTATTGCAGTAATTATCCACTGCACATATACAGACTGAGCATTGATTTGGAGATCACACACTGTAATCTATCTGGTATATCCACTGGGCCAAATAACACTATCAATTTTTCACAATGTTTTAAAGCCAAATTTGCTGCTTAGATACTTAAAGGTGTCTTGCATTCTGATAAATAGTTGACTCCATATGTTAGGACAGTCAATAATGTTCTTCTAATGGAAGAGATGAAAAAAAAAAACGAAAATGTGCAGCTTTATTGTAATTAAAAAAAACTCAGCTGAGGATGTAGCTTGGCAGTAGGAAGTTTGTCTAGCAGGCTTGAGGCCATGAGTTCAATGTTTACTACTGCACGAAGAAAAGGAAATACAAATTAAGTCATCATTGTTTGCTTATTATGATTTCAAAAATGAGAAAAAGTGATTATATGTAGTGTTGTGCAAGATGCAGAAATTTTCAACATGTTGGTACATGTACATTGCATTTATAGGACTAATCTTGAAGTGTGCATGTTTATACGTGCGCATGTACATGTACGTGTAAGTGTGTTTGTGTGTATGGTTTTATTTATTTCCCTTTTTTGGAACTAATTTTGAAAGAATAATTAGACTAATGTGCCAAATAGAGTCAGAGTATTTTCACTGTAGTAAAAATTTAAGACTTTCAATTTCTATTACCAGATGTCTGACTAAATAAAATAAAGTATTGTTATATCACAGACTACTACACATAACTTGAAGGATTTACATATATGTGGGAAGAAAGCAAATAGTAGAAAACAAGAATAGTACTATTCTTTAAACCTTTTTTAAAATGTATTTTCTGCCTCCTGATGCTCCCTACTAGGCAAAGAGAACTCAGTCATACCATTAGCTTTTCTGCACTGCTGTATTCACTACCCTGTGAAACTGTGGTGACTTACTTAATTGGAGAGATTTTTGAGACAAAGTTTCACTGTGTCACCTTGGCTGGCCTGAAACTTGCTGTGTAGACCAGGTTAACCTAGTGCTTACAGAGATACACCTGCCTCTGCCTTCTGAGTCCTGGGATTAAGGTGTGCATCACCACACCCAGCATTTATAACTGGAAAACTGAGGAAGAATAAATAATTAATAGCCGTCTCATCTCTGTCTCTTTTCATCCTTGAAACTGGAATGGGAATAGTCACTCATTTCTCTTCGTCCTCACTGTCTTCGGTGCCTGATACTATGATGGGAGAGTTGAATAACTCCAAGGTTCACTTAGTGGTCACTTTTAGCATTTACGCTAGTCTGTGTTTAACTCATCTTTATCATTACTAAAAAGAATTCGTTTGACTTTTATGTTATTTTTTTATCACACCTGTTAGTTAATTCAGAATTCTGGACAAGGGAGAAGACTGCTATTTAGCAGGTCTTCTTTGACCATGCAGGTATATATACCTTGAAAATTGAACGGAAAAACACAGTTAGATTCCTAACGGCACCTTTCTACTTCACTCACTACTTCTGTAAATTCTAGACTTCCATTTAACTTATTTAAAAAGAAAAGCTTGTGTTACTTTTAGAACCAACAGATGGAAATCAATATTGATATTTCATTCTGAATACAAGGAGAAATGAAATGTAATAGTGAAATACTCCAATATTAGTAAGTCTCTCTATATTATATTGTTTATGGCTCTCGGGGCATTAAAAAAAATAGGTGCTGTCATTCACTCCTAGCTGCCTTGGTTGTGATACATGGTAATAAAAGAGTGAATCTATTTCATCATTGATTGACTAGTTGTGTGACATGGGAAAGCTGTTCTCCTTCCTCTTAAATTTCTGGTTGGGAGCCTAACCTTTAGCAGCCGAGCCATCTCCCCAGCCCTCTCCTCCCCTCTGGGCCTCAGTTTCTTTATTATTAAGGAAGTTTCCTTCAGATACTTTCTAATGCCCAAAGGCTGATGCTTAGTGTACACCCAGCGAATAGCAGCTGTTATCAGATCGTTAAGCATCTTCTTGCTCTTTTCTTGGGAGCCTCATTCCTAAGCACAGCACTTTAGCTCATGGCTGGTGGGACCATGAATGCTTCAGAATTGGGAATCTGAACTACAAGGTGACTTTCATGAATCACTAGAGCCAAGGAATCATATATATTTGGAATCTGTGAAAAAAGGAAGAGAATAATGTAGAGAAGAATGAAATATATATAATTGGGGAAGATAAACTTAAAGAAAATAATTCTGGCTTTTGAATTACTAGTTTTGGTCATTTTGGAAATCTAGCCTCATTCCCATCCTTAGTTTCAAGACAATCACATGTCCTAATTATAAATCATCCTTTTCGGCTTAACCTAAATGGAATTGGTTTCCTTGTCATCTAAGAATCTACCCTACAATATACACCTCTGTCTGTAGAAATGATCTTGTCTTGCCCATTGATCCTGCCATTCTAGAATTATTGGTGAAATTATTATGGCCACTCCACGTAGTTAAAAGGATATTTATTTAGTGGCGTAACTCACAAATTAAGGATAGGTAGGTCGCAGGGTCTGGGGAAGGTGTATTTCAGTCCAGCAGTGTTCTCTGGAGCTCTGCTTGGTCCATCTCCACCGTTCAGCGTCCCGGCACCAAGCCAGCCCGGCACCTCCCCTGGTCCCGCCTTGTAGGCTTTACAGTTGCCAGAGTCTCATGGGAGGTTGGAACTTCCAGATCCAAGCTGGAATGGCTACCCACTACATAGAACTGTACAAAACAAAATACCTGTGATTTTAATTTTACCCAATTGGTGCTTAGTGTGTATAAGAACTTGGTTGAGATTTAGCTCTGCCTTCCTATTCTAAATACCACATGCAAGCATGTGCACCACTCATCAATGCTCTAGAATGACCCTGCCAGATGTTCAAGTTGGGTTGTCATCCTGCTGCACCTCTGTGAAAGATGTGACAGAAAGATAGGGGTTTCTAAGACCCAAGGTTCCTGAGAAATTGTCCCGAGGCCTAAAAGGGATGAAGAAAGAGATCTGGAGAGCAATTGTATCAGAGAAGCAATGTAAGCTTTGTCTGGATGGTGAATGCTGTTAGCCATTGAGAATGGAATAAGCCTACGGGCTTGGGAATGCAATTCTTTTTTGAAAGACTGGTTTGTGAGAGAAAATGCTATCAGTAATTTAAAGAGGAAAATCATCTCAAGCTCTGAGCCAGATGGTTTTGCAATTGAAATTTTTTTTTTAACTTGCAAACGGTTGCCTTGATCTTCGCTGTCAAATTTATTATTTGATAAGCAATTTACTTTTCTTAAAGTAAAATCAGTTCCTTGGGTACCAAGTTCTACCTTTCAGCTAAGAAGTAAAATTAGAGCACTCTCTCCTCAATGTTAAGCCAGATGATATTAAAACTAAGAAGGTATTTTAATTTTGAGGCTCTATTTTCACACGTGTGTCAGTCTTGGGCTTAAGTGGAACCCCACCTCGTTATTCTGGATAAATAAACAAAGATAAACCCCTCTGGCTTTTTCCTGTTTTTATTGTGAATGTCTGTTCCTGTTTTTCATCATTTAACTATAAACAGAAGTAAAATATACTATTAGCTACTAAAAATGAATTTGTTTTCAGATAGAGGGATGTGATTATTGTAGAGGAAGATGCATAAAGTTCATTAACAGCCTTGCAAACTTCTTCTGCAGAATACACAAAGGTTTACAAAGTACAGGTGCAGAATTTATCACTGAAAACACATGGTACTTTTTATTTCTGGTAGCAAAAATCTAGACATAACCCAGACATTAATAAAGGAAAATCTGAATACACTAAGATCTGAATTTTTATGGGACTTGAGGAAGTCTCTGTGTTATTTTCAGTTAAAAACTCTATGGAAAAACAGTATTTTTTATTTTTTTATTTTTACTTAAAATGAAAACAACTTAGCCTGCGTGTGATATGTACAGATGCAGACACGGAGGGAAAATGTGCAAACAGTTTACACTGGTTGTCTGTGTAATGGTTTTTCTTTTTAAAACGTGATTACACTTGATCATGGGCAGCATGCTTGTGGTCACTGAAGGACAGCCTGTGGGAGTCAGTGCTCTCCTCTTAGGGTGTGGTACTGGGGAACTGAACTCAGGTTCTCAGGTTTGGCAACAGGCACATTTATTGACTGAGTCATCTAATGAATCTCTGATGTTCTTAAATGTACCTCTGGATTGCTTGGTTTATTTAAAAAGAACACGCGTGACTTCCATAATAGAAGTTCCGTATCACATAAAATCAGTGTAACACAGTAGAAGCAAAACCTAAAAATGGGAGCTATGTAATGAATCCTCCCACATACTTACGCATCCGTTGTTAACTCCTTTCAGCTCTTCTCTGGTTGATGTTTACAGGAACTGCTTGTCACCTTTGTGGCTAGAGAGCTGCATGTCATATGACAATTTTGTAACAATGAAATACTGAACTTTATTTTTCACTATCTCACATCTTCGTTTACCTTTCTCCATTTTTAATTCCCCATTTCTTTATGCAGATAGAGACTACATCATGGAATTAAATCTTCTAGTACCTCTTAAAGGAGCTTAAGGGAAAGAAAAAAAAGCTGCAAGCCTAGAAGGTTGTTTCAGGTAAAAGATTTTCAGGGTTTCATATTTCAGTAGCTCCAAAGTGATCCCCACAGATCAGCCTCAGGAGCAACCGGAAACGAAGAAAAATTTTACCTAACTAGTATAACAATGGAGTTGTTGTGTACCAAAGGCAGGATAGCACCACACTCATTTGCTATAGTGCACTTAATAACAAAAGGTGCTTGTGTGTGTGTGTGTGTGTGTGTGTGTGTGTGTGTGTGTGTGTGTGTGTTTCACAAGTGCATATTCACACACTCATGCCTGAGCAAAAGGGGATATCTTAGCTGCAAGCTGCATTGTGTCATGCCAGTCAGCCGTCAAGTTAATCAGAGGAAATAATGCGATCATTTCTACCCGGGGAGGAAACACGTGAAAATGAGATTAAATAGGGCTAGGAGTGACCGACTTGCCGTTTCCTAAGGAACTTTCCACTTTCCTGCCCTGATATCATTATAGTTTTCTGTTTATCTGGGTTTTTTTTTGTTTTGTTTTTACTTGTTCTAATACATGTCTTGGTGTTTCAATGGATCTAAAAATTTAGGTTTAACACAAAAATTGAATTTATGTTTGGTCAGTTACATTTGTACTTTAGGGCTGCTTTAAATTAAAAAAAAAAATCATTATCATGAGATCCCAGGACTCAGTCTTATCTAGGAGTCTAACAGCCAGCAGCCAAGCTCTAGACACTCTCTGGGAAATCTCATCCTTTAGAGTGAAGATTCATTGTGATTTTTTCTTTCTTCTTTCCTTTCTTTCTTTCTTTCTTTCTTTCTTTCTTTCTTTCTTTCTTTCTTTCTTTCTTTCTTTCTCTCTCTCTCTCTTCCTTCCTTCCTTCCTTCCTTTCTTCCTTCATTCTTTCCTCCCTCCCTCCTTCTGTTCCTCCTTCCCTCTATCCTTCCTTCCTTCCTTCTTTCTCTCTTTTTTCGAAACAGGGCCTAAGTATGTAATTGGCTGTCCTGGAACTCGCTCTTGTAGACCAGGCTGGCCTCAAGCTCACAGAGATCTGCTTGCCTCTGCTTCCTGAGAGCTGAGATTAAAGGCCACTGTGCCCAACCTAATTGCAAGTATTACTGCAGTGGTTCTCAACCTTCCTAATGCTGCAACCCTTTAATGCAGTTCCTCATGTTGTGGTGACCCCAAACCATAAAATTAAGCTACTTCATAACTGTAATTTTGCTACTGTTTTGAGTCATAATGTACATATCTGGTATACAGAATATATGAGACCCCCCCCAGAGGGGTCATGACCCACAGATTGAGAACTGCTATCTTAATGGGTAAATTCTCACTCTATGTAGGAGACCTTTACAAAGTAGCCTTAAAGGGACTCATTCCAACTTGTCCTTTACTGCCTGTATGAGTCTAGGTGAGTTTAAGATGTTCTGGTTCTGCTTTTCACCCGTTTATAGAAGTCACTGCAGGCCTCTGTAACTTATGCTCTTGTACTATTCTTACTTTTGGAGTTCAATACATTCGAATGTGAAGGTGACTTCAAGCCCAGGGTGTTCTTAATCACTGATCAATAAGGTGAAACAGCTGTAAACAGATTGATCATTTAATTATTTACTTGGAGAATTGGTTTTTATTCCCGATAGAAATAAGAAAGTGCTATGGGACTTTTTCGTCCAAGGCTGAGCAGAGATGTGAGTAAATTTTTTAAATTTGTGTTTATTATTGTACGTGTGTATGAAAGTCAGAGGATAATTCTTGAGAGTCAATTCTCTTTTTCCATAGTGGATCCCAGGGACTGAACTCAGATCACAAGTGGTTGATTGTACCTGCTGAGTCATCTCACTGTACCTGCTGAGTCATCTCATTGTACCTGCTGAATCCTCTCACTGCACCTGCTGAGTCATCTCACTGCACCTGCTGAGTCCTCTCACTGCACCTGCTGAGTCATCTCACTGCACCTGCTAATTCATCTCACTGTACCTGCTGAGTCATCTCACTGCACCTGCTGAGTCATCTCACTGTACCTGCTGAGTCATCTCACTGTACCTGCTGAGTCATCTCACACTGGTTAGGTTTTGTTGTTGCTGCTGCTGCTGTTGTTTTAAGACAAGATTTGTCTATGTATCCCTAGCTGTTCTGGAATTCACTCTGTAGACCAGGCTAGCCTCAAACCACCTGCCTCTGCCTCCCAATGCTGGGATTAAAGGTGTGCACCGCTTTTGATGAATAAGCCTCAGCCCCGCCTAAAGGTTCTAAGAAAAAGAGGTAAGGAAAAGGATTGTTGATAATAATAACTATTTATTGAGCACATAATGTGGCCAAAATTGTGATTAAACCTTTTGAAGACAATCTTGATAAAAATCTTCCCCACAGATATAAGGCCTGCACTAAAGAGCTCATGGTTTTGGGGGTGAGGAGACTAAGACTGGAAAACTTGGAGCAGTGTCTTGCTAGGCCCCCATCAAGTTACAGAGAAATGTGGTGTTACTAACACGCTTAGTCCCTCCAAACCCCAGTCAGCGGCTGCAGTCCTTGTGGAAGCCTTGGAGGGGTTATTAATGACTTTAAAAGGGAGCTAAACAAGCTACATGCTCACTCCTTCTCTCAAGGTTCCCCTCTCTTGTCACAATTAACATTCTGGGCTAGAAAACTCATTTCTGGCGGGGGCCTCTCCTGTGCATTGCGGGGTGCTGAGCAGTGCCCTCGTTCTCTGCCCACGAAAAGCCACTGCACTCTGGCCTTCAAGTACCAAGAAGACCAAGATGTCTCCTGACATAAACTGATGTCCCCCAGGGTAAAAGTCCTCCACACTGAGAAATGCCATATCTAAAGCCTACGTTCATCAAAATTTAACTTCAAAAGGATAATCTAATCTACCTGTTACCGAATATGTGGCAGCCTGGACTGAACTCACCCAGGAGAGTAGCTGTTAAGTACTCTACAGCCAACAAAAGTTCATTTGTGGGGCCAGTGTGTGTGTGCGCACCCACCTCATTATATGGCTTCCAAATTGTAGTGAGGTGCAAGGGCTAAACAAATAAATAAGATGGCTGGGGAAGGGGTCTCTAGTGATCAAAACTGATTTGCTGCAGTTCTTATCAGATTGAAATTGCAAAGTGGGAAGTGACCGCCAGCCCCCTGGCTATGAAGTGCATCGATTACATCCTCGTTTGCCTCAGTGATAAACATAAAAACCAGGGTGACAGCCAGATGCTTTCAGCAGTAGTAGCTGATGATCAACAGTGTCCCGTCTTCTCCTACTCTTCTACTTAGAAATGACCACCATTGCTTTCACACCACCGTTTCCATTTATTAGCAATAACAGAGGAAATACCAATAGCACCAATTAAAAATGAATCCACATGACGTGTTTTATCCTTACAGCTGTAATAACTAGTAACTAACACGAATTGGAAAGCACTTCATAAATTTAAAAAGTGCTGTACATATACATTATAGTTATCATCATTAATAAATTAGCCCGATTCTCCTAGTTCAAAAGGCACGTAAGGTCAGTTACATGGGCTTCAGTGGGGCAAATGATCACAACCTACAATGTAGCAATGGTTCACATGTGTTGTCAACAAGTTTTACCCCATGCAATCCTGCAGAGCTGAAGTTACACACCCTTCAAAATATGGGAGAATGAAGCTAAAAGACAAGACAGTTTTTTTTTTTTTAGATTTTTATGCCTTTTAAAACAGACTCCTACCTCTTTTATATTAACTTTTAAATAGATAATATAATTAATCAAACTTCTAAGTTGTACACAACAAACTTAAAATGTCTTATTTATGGTAACAGTAAATTTTATTACTTTCTATGAGCTGATATTCCGGATAGCATTTCAAAGCAATCTGCAAATTCAAAGAGGTCAGATTGGTACAATTTTGTGCTTGCATACCCTCAGGGACTTTCTTCAGTATTCATTCCAGAACTGTTACTAGAAAAAAGCAGCTTTATCCATTCCCTTGCCAGCAGGAATCTTGGCAAGAGACAGCCCTTGGCTGACCATAAATAAAATTCCTTGAATCACCAGCATCTTGATTTAAGAAAGAAATTTTACTGTGTCTTTCATACACAAAAGCTGATTAACAATGGTTTAAAAAAAACACTATTTCACTTTTCCACAGGTGTACAAAAGGAAATATAATGGGCTTACATTCAACAATAAAGCTTAAAGTTCACTCTAGGTAATAGTTGCATTAACATTCACATACACAAGCACAGAGTAAGTATATCTCAGGAGTCTTATAATAGCATACAGCATACATATGGGAGATTGATTCAGGTAACATCATAGGTGTTAGTAAGGTTAGCAATTCAGAGTGTTATAGAAAAGGAAAACTAAACAAGGCGAAGGTGTAGGCTAGCACACCAAGACAATCACAGGATCAGAGGAATGAAAAATCTGCTCACTGTATGTATGAGAAAACGATATTTTTCTTCAGTTTCTGGGTCTTGATATAGTGGGTTAGAGAAGGTTGTGTAATCAAAGTGCACATCATTTTTTCTTAGAAAAGAGAAAGAGAAAGGTCCTTTTATTTAGTAATTAATACATGCAAGAGGCAGCCCCAGAGTGACCTGAAAGAGTAAAGCTGTGATTGGCAGGTGGCCGGTATAGTATAATACAGATGTTCCAGGCAATTCTCTTAAAGCACTTCTGTAGCAGCAATGGTCATTTTAAATGGCTGTAGACTGGATTCTCTTTTGAGGGGAGTTGGGGGAATTGTATTCATATTTCTTTAAAGATTTATAGCTATAGACTTTCTCTTTTTTAATAAATCTATCAAACAACAAACAGCATAAAGTGAGGTGTTGGGTTTTTTTTCTTTTGCTTTTGCATATGTGTTGTTGGAAAAGGATGTGTCCTTTTCATAAACATTGTGTGCAAAAGAATTTTTAATAGCGTGAGCACAAGGACATGTATAGGAAACACATCAGATCTGCTTCTGTTGCCCTGGCTGACTCTCTCTGTCAGACACTTGAACTTCTGGCTTGTGTGCACAAAGCAGGTATCCAGTATAGTGGTACTACAGCCAACAGACTTGAGGGACCCCTAAAGCTTCGTCAGTGGGGGTGGTTTTGCCAGCTAGAAGATGACCACCACACCTCAAGTTAAGAAATTGAGAAAGTCTGGTCCCTTTCAGTTTCACATTTCCCCCTCCCAGTGTCTCTGTATCTTTGTCTCCCAGCCCTTCTTGTGTCAACTAGTCTAACCTGGACCACCCCAACCAATATCAGGCTCTTGAACACTCATGGTAGCTACACATACCCAGTGACCACAAACCCCCAAGCTGCTCAACCTGAATACCTTTCAGCCTGCCCTGCAAATGTCATCAAGATGCCTGAAGCACAGGGCAGAGAGTCCAACTCTCACTGGCGGGGCTGGGAAGGCTCTCCTTTGCGGCGGAGGAGAAAGGAAACTTGGGTCTGCTTTTTAGGTTCTGAAAACAAGCCAGAGCGGAGAGAAAGAGTTAACACCAGACTTAGGAAAGCTTTTTTTTTTTTTTTTTTTTTTTAAAGACAAAACCTGTTAAATGTGATCAAGACAGACACAGGGAACTTTCTGCAGATTTCTGAGGTCTCTAAGAGGGCTCATGTCATAGGAGAAAGGAGCAGGGAGTTGCTACATGGGAGAGATTTGCCATTATTACAAAAATTGGCTAAGTGGCTTGTTTCCGTTAGGTGGCCTCACTGGTCACTGTTGTCGGTGGTACTGTTCCCTTTCTCTTTTTTCTCCTGGGTCTTGTTACCCTTCTTCTTTTTCTTCTTTTTCTTGGTCTCCTCCTTTTTGCCGAAGGTTATAAAGTCGCTTTTGTCAATTTGGTTGTTAGCAGGCTCCTGCCGGATGGAGATGATTGCAGGAGATCCTGGGATAATGAATTTGTCTGGCAACTCACCGGGACCGGACTGTTTGGGGTTGCCTGGTCCGTATTTAAAGGTCCAGCTGTTGCTGTTGACCCCAGCACCCACTGGAGGGGACACCTCTCCTGCCTCAGGTTCTGAAAGACAAAACACCACACATCAACAACAGTGAATGTATGCCTTCCCTATGACACACACAAGTGGGACAAACTGCCCTCAAGCCTGAGGGGGAAGCCAGTGTCTGGAAACAATTAGCAGGGCAGATTTTCTTACCACAGGGCCCACAAATCTAGTTTTCTAACGACATGGTTTAACTCTTTGTGAAGAATTTCCTAAGTAAGACAGCTGTGGTAGCTTGCCTGGGAATAAGACAGGAAGTATACAGGCTTAATGCAGAAAATGCTACTTTCAGTGTATGGATTATTATCATTTATTTTCACAATTTTTTGTTTTGTTTTGTTTTGTTTTTGGAGACAGGATTTCTCTGTGCAGCCCTGGCTGTCCTAGAACTAACTCTGTAGGACCAGGATGACCTCAGACTCAGAGAACCACCTGCCTCTGCCTCCTGAGTGCTGGGATTAAAGGCGTGCGCCACCACCGCCTAGCTAATTTTCACTCTTAATTCTGCCGAACTACAGATGAACTGTTTAAACTAATTACTCATCTTAATTCTATGAACAGAACAGAAGTGAGATGGGAAGAAATGGGGTACAGAAACTACTCCATAATAGAAGAGGATGGATTTCTGTTGTATGCTGAATCAATTTGTTTGGATGAAATATTGCAAGTCAATTTCATTTCCAAACTAAGCCTCCTTCCCCAGAGTGGTCACAGGCTATATACCAAGGCATATGCGAAGTACTGTGGAACTAAAAAGAAGAAAATTATTCATTTTATTGGAGAAGGTTATATGGGGTTCTAGAGGTAAAGTGACATCAGCACCGAGCCCACAGATGACCGTGTAGCCACAGGGGGCTCCAGCGCAAAGCTTCTCCAAGGGTCAACCAAGTTGGAAGATACTCCATAAGATGTCATAGTGAC